AGACTTGCATCGCTGTTCGATAGCGCTCAACAATATCATCGTTAGCACAGGGCTGTACTTTTTGCGCGCAAGTAAGAGTACTTGAAATCGGATGTCATGTCTGTGAAAATCACCGCTCCTGCCGGCCCATCAGCATTCAGTGATGGTACGCTGTCGGGGGGGGGGGGGGGGGCGCAACAATCGCAACCAAAATTTGACGAGTGTGTTGTGCTGGTAGCTAATGTCGTAGATCAGTCTATTAAGTACAAATAGCCGCAGTAATCGAGGTTGATTTCAAGTTGTTCTCCGGGGAGCCGTCCATCCGCCGTTGCCTTTGAGCTGTGGAGGAGCGATTTTAACCACAAAAAGGTCATTTTACGGACGCGAGATTTACATTGCCGGCTATGAGTAACTGCTAACGGCTACAATACGGCTACAATAACATCGCCATGGCAAGGCTGCACCTTCGACAATGTCAAATGTTATCGTCAATATGCTTTTCATTTTTGTGGTCGACCCGCGACAGCGTATTGCTGCTAGTGCTGGCGGGCTGCCAGCATTCGGGATGCGCTGTCGGGCGTGGACAGAAAACAATCAAAACTAACATATGACGAGCGTGTTGCGCTCGTACCTGATGGCAATTGGCAATCCCGGTGCAATTGAATGCACACAGTTGCAATTTTCGGGTTTATTATCAACATTTTTCCAACAACGACGTATTATGAATACCACTGTCTACAGGTGGGCCGCCGTCGGCTCTGCACTAGCAAGTGATCATGTGAAGACAAAAGATGATGTCTACCGATGCAAGATTTGTATTGCGGGCCGACAGTGCTCACACATTGCTAGCGCAAGCGCAAGGTTGCAAGGTTGCTAGCGCTAGATTGCACCTTCTGCACACTGGTACAGGTGTGTCAAAACTGGACATCAGTGTACTACAATTGCCGACTTTGGGTGTAATGCAACACCCTATGAGGGGGAATTTTCATTCCTTTTCCCCATATTTTATGTGAATTTTTCACTGCTGCCTGATATTGTCTAATCGCATATGCCAAACCCATGATTCTCTTTCTGAGGCTTTCAGATGGCATCCAAAACCGAGCTTACTTGAAACCACCAGGCATAAACAAGGCCCCACAGAACCTGAACACCTATGGCTATGTCCTGCCTCACCTACATGTGAGTCATGTCTATGTATGCACAGAGCAAGGGCACCAGGTACCTTCAAGCTCGAGAGCCCCAGCGACTCCAGTCGCTTGCATGCATCAAGCTTGGTTTGCTTACAAAATGCGTCACAATCGGCAGCTGTGTGCCAAATGCAAGGCTTTCACGTATCACCAATTTTTGGGGGTCTCACCACCACTCTACGAAAGCAGAACCTGGTACAAACTTCAGCAAAGCCTGGTAGATAATTTTACTCCACGTATTTCTGTCACCCGAAGAAACTTGACCACTAAATTACATCACTCCCGAAATGCGGGAGTACAAAATTCAAGAAATGTCTTCTAATGAAATTTAGAACATGAGTATCACCGTTAGAGCAATCATGTTAGCAGACTATAAGTCAAATCAGCTGGTTACCAAATTTTGTCAAAAAATGTCGCTCCTTATGTTTATTTAACTACTTTTGTTTTCTGGAATCATACGAGTGTGACAACACTTTGTTCTTCCTTCCTTTCCAATGGTCTTTAAAAGTAGCATCTCTTGCTTAAAATGTTGACCAATTTCTCTGCAAAATACTCTAACTGCAAACTTGCGCGCATTTCGTACATAAATTAGATCAGTTCGCCAGCCGCCCAAACATGTTTGATATGCCACCCAAGAGTGAACAATTCACAGGGAATGAAGGAGACAATTTGAAGCACAGACCTTACCCTTACCGACAATTTGCCCTGTTAGCCTTTTTTTGTTCATGGCGGTGCTCGATAATGACAAATCTAAGCCTTTCCAGTGTCTGACTCAGGGCCCCGTTCTTGATGGGAAAATGCTGCCAGATGCTCCGCCCCTTCAGGTAACAACCTATGACGTTCCACAGCTACGTCATCTACGTGAAGGAAACGCTTCAAGTAACTCCTCAACATGGTGGCTAGCAAAATCAGCCGTTTCCCATCAAACACATTTGACGCGCAGCAGTGATGATATGACGAGTCGGAACAGTCAATTGTACTTCAATGTACAAATGTACAAATTACTTCAGGCGTATCTCTCGCACAGCAGCTGTCTATACCATAAGGACTTACCTCAACGAGAATATTATAGGGCAGAGAAAGGCAGATCATCGCCCTCGACTCTGAAAGACGTTGCCTTATTTCAAGCGTTGCGCGAGCGTAACCACGTGCAATCGATCATCCCACTGACACGAAGTTCAACAGGCACTGATAACTTAACGCCTTATGACAGCTAGATCATCGTGCATTGTATGTCAAGGTCGTCCAAATATTTTGTTACGCATGGGGCATGTTTTGGCGCATGTGGTTGCAAGCAGGGATACAGCTTTGCCCGGACACGTATACAGGGAGAAATCTCATGTTGGTAAACAAGCCGCATGAAGGGGAGTTCTAGATAAAGACACACAGCCGAACAATATCCATGGAAACACGTGACGTCAGGTTATGCAGTATATTTACATTCCAACGCATTAAAGGCATAGATAAACTTTCCCACAACCATACTGTCCGGACAAACTATTATGTTACATGATCCAGAAAGTGACGTTGCACAGTGATGCACTCGCCGATGTAGCGGTGCTGGCCTTGCCAAAGCGCCAACGTCGCGTAAACGAAAACAGAAAATTATGTACATGACGCGTTTCCAGGACATGATGAAGATTTCAAATCGCAATTTCGTTTCTCACGTAACTTTTTTTCTCTCAAAATCTCTAGGCAAAACTGGCTCCTTATTATGACAATCATGCCCAGCGCAGAGGCAACCACAAGCGTCAGTTGGAAGGTGTGATGCCTGCGCCGCAAAATCGCGCCGAGTCAGTAGTTACCCCATCACTCCGTTGGCGAAAGTCTGGAACCTCTTCAAATCTGGGGTCACACTAGTATCTGACAACAATTTGCAAGAATGTTGCTGACGCGCGCGGTGGCGCCATCGCGTCGCCACTAGGAGCGCAGCCACATGACACCATCGCAGGCTTTGCAGCGTGCGCCAGCTCCCCAGGTGTGGTTGCTGCCATCGACTGGTCCTTTCTCTTCATGGATGCACCCAGCAAGGAGATAGCAGCTGCTCATAATAACCCACAAGCATCGCCAAACAGAACATCTACTGGCTGCTCGTGATCACCGCGGCGCACTCACTGATGTACTTCCAGGGTTCCGGGATCCGCCAACGATTGTCGTGTTTTTTTTCGGAGACGGCCCCCCTCTGCTGCAAACCCTCAGGGAGCATTTGCGGCAGCTTCTCTCATCTAACACACACCTCATCGAGGACAGGAGCATGGCAATTGTGCAAGATTGTTGCATGGCAAGTGCCAATGGGAATTGTGCAAGAATCAGTGACTCACAACTGCTGTGATATAAACAGTTTAGACAGGATGAGATGAAGTAGGGCGTCTTTAGATTAGTCACAGTTTAGGCTACTTTCATGCAAATAAGCATTGGTATTTTGTAAGAAACAGTGACAAAATGTTTGTTCTCCCTGACCCCATCTTAACAGAAGCCAGAGGCATGTCTATTGTGTTTGACTTGGTGATGGGCTGATATGTGAGGTTCCAAGTTCTATTTTTGTTTGAGTGCTTTATGCTTGTTAAATTTTCTATTGCTATTTGTTGTTGAATTCCTTTGCTTTGTTTTGTGGCAAACAATGCTGTGGAAGGGAAGTGTGAAGTGCATCATCAAATTATTGGTGTTACATATTTTTTATGCTCATTACACTGTTATGAAATAACCATGTTTTAATGTAGTCTGTTTCGCTTAAATGGCCTAAGATGTTAAAAAAGCAAAACAGTGTTGTCAAGTTAATGATACTATGTTCATGCCGACTTGAAATGTATGCCTTTGTTTGCTGACAATGTCGGTCACTAGCCCATAAGTTCCGTCTTTTGTGAATTGAATTTTTCACTCCTGCCTGGTCTTTTAGCGATGGGAATTTTTCGCCTCCACCCTAGTTTAAAAGTGATTCTAGCTCACTGCTGGACACTGTAGGTACTTGTACATATCAACGCTCCAGGTGACCTGCAGCATTGAGTGATACCTTCTCTCTCGGGGAGGAGGGAGGGGTGGGAGGGAGGGGTGAAGCAAAACCAAATCGCAACCGAAATATAGACAGCTTGTTTTATTGTCTGCTGATGGTCCTATACCCTGGCTATCGAATACACATAGCCAAAATGCTCTGGTTTGGTGATGAAGTGCTTTTTCCCGGGGCGCCATATTACAACCATCACCCTATATAAAGGCCGGCCGGCCGTCAAAATATGCGCCGTGAAAGGGTGATTCGAGCCAAAAAGTCATGCCTTTTTAAGATTTACTCTCGCGAAGTAAGATTTTCTTCCTTGGCCGATAGAAGTCCCACAATAACACCGCTAGCGCATGGCTGCGCAATCCGTGCACGCAAAGAAATCAAAAGTATTTCAAACTGGGCGCCGTGTCGTGAAAATGACCGCTCCAGCCACCCTCCCCCCCCCCTTCTGGGACCGCCGTATCGTGAAAATGACCGCTCCAGCCACCCTCTCCCCCCCCTTCTGGGACGCCGTATCGTGAAAACGACCGTTCCAGCCACCTTCTCTCCCCCCCCCCCCCCTTCTGGGAATTGAGTGATAAGATCTCAGCACGTCGGCCGAAAGAAATCGGAACAAAATTTGACGAGTGGGATGTACTGGCAGGTCGTGGCCCTACACCAGTGCTATGGAATGTATACAGTCACCATAAACCAGTCTGACTAGACATATGTTTTTATTTCCCAGTATTATGGCCATCACTCTATCTGCGGGCCGGCCGCCGTTGGGTCTTCAGCTATCAGGGGCTATTTGAACAAAAACAGGTCATGTCCGCCCAGGAGATATTTACATAGCCGACCGAGGGTCATGCCGCAATGACATTGTGTGCACAAGGTTGCACGGTTCTGCGCCCAAGAACAAACATTTTAGATTGGAGGCCGTATCTGCGCACATCATCCCTTCAGCCGGACCGCCAGCGCTTAGTGGTACGCTGTTGGGGTCAAGACCAAAAAATGAAAAAAAAAATCTGACGGTGTGCTACACCGGCCGCTGATAGCCGTATGCCTATTGAATTCACACACCATCACAAAAATCGAGTTGGGCTATCGTTACTTTCGCCGTGGCCGCCATGTTTTGGACGCGATGCCCGTCCGTCGCTACGCTTGCGCTGTGGTCGGGTGATTTTAACAAAACACGAAATGCCCATCGATGCGAGATTTACGTTGCCAGTCGATTGTGCTATCACAGTAACCTCGTTATGGTAGGGTCGCGCCCCTCCACGCACCAGTAACAGTACCTCGAAACTGGGCGTCGTATCTGCACAGACCACCGCTCCGACCGGCCCGCCAGCATTGAGTGGTACGCTGTCGGAGGTTTGACCGAGAAAAACAAAACTAAAATCTCGTCGAGTGTGTTTTGATCGCAGCTGATTAGAAATAATCCTGCAAGGCTGTCTGATTGTAACAGCCCTGTGACCCCACGTGCGTGGCCATGAAATGAAAGCCATGCGAAAACTGCTTCCTGTCCCTTCTTCTCAACATTTCAAAGCTTTACCAAATTGTGCCCATCTGCCTTCAACAACACCTCGCAGACCTCGGCTTGCATTTCCGGCTTGCTAACGGCCCAACGAGAATTCGGATGTGTATTGGTGTTATAATCCACATTGCACGAATTTGTAAACGGATGCTGGCTAATGTGCGGCGCCATTGCCGCCCCCGTAGCCGGAATAGAGACCGGCTACACATAGCAGTGGCGGGTGCTCGCCGTTTTTCAGGTACTAGGAGGCAGCGGCGGCACAGACTGCACTCAGTCTCGGACACGCTCCGCGGCTGACCGCCCAGGTGGCGCACACGACACGCAGTTGGCTGACGGCCGGTCGGCGAAGGGCCGGCGACAGCGGCCTGCGTCGACCGGGCCACATCCTCCGCCAACATGTCATACGGCACCGGCTCGTAACATCGGCACCAGCTGATTTTGGCGGACATTTGGACGTTTCGAAGTCCGACGAGCCGACGCTAGACACGACTTCTTTTCCCCGATGAGAGCAATGCCAACAGAACTACAGCTGCGAGCATTTTTGGCGGGTCACGCCAAATGGTCATCTTCCGCAGCCTTCAACTCGCGCCTAAACAAACCAAGAAGTTGAACAAAGTGCGCTGTTGACGAGCTGCTGGGCCTTCGAACCATTTCCCCGCTTTGGATTGTTTATTTTCTTGACGTCACATTTATGTCGCCCGGATAGCGGTAGACAGGACGGTGGCAAAATGTGGAGCGCTATATGCTCTGAACGGACCGTGGGTAATCTTTTAAAGTAATATAACAGGCTTTCAGCATGATACAAGGCCTGATTACACCAAGCCATCTGATAAGCAGCTATGTTTGGCGGTTTGCAAGTTACAAGTAAACAATGGGGACATCAGAGGCCCAGGTTCGACCCCGGTCGTGTTATGGTCTCTGTGCGCCACGGCCGCCAAGATCGCCGGCGCTCCGCAGGAGCGGCCGCCGTGCTCCTATAAAAACGCGAATCAAATGATACATTGATTAGCCTGCATTGGACCGGAGTGTTCCAAATTTGGCACGTCGCTTCTATTTTGATCTCACCACCCTGCCCGCCCTTGCATGGTCTAGAATGACACCGAGGATCGTGAGCGAGTAACTTTTGAGCTTTTGAAGAGCTCTCCATTACAAGGAGCTTTCGGTGATGAACAAATAACGCGTGGTCCGCCCTAAAAATGTTGACCTAAAGGAATGTTTGCAACCCGACATCATATATTACGAAATCCGCGTTACTCAATCCGGAAACCAGAAATTGCACGAAGAACCCTGCTGCGATGTTTTACATCGAATGTTTCCTTGACGGGAGTTCATTCTAATTCGACCAGTAGTGCACTTCCACACCCCGCCTCGATGCACGTCTTGCGAACTGCTGGCCAAAACATTACAACAAGGGACCAGGAGGCCAGAACGCTGAAACATAAAAAATCCGGTCATGTGAAATGTCACCGGATCCATGCAGCGGTACCAGAATCAGGTTTTCAACCATGTCGATGGGCTCATAACTGTTGTAAACCGTCAAATATAGCCACGCAGTGCGTTATATCAAACCTGCCCAAAGCCGAAGAAAACAGCGATTAACAGCGTGTTCTGACGCCGCTGCTCTGATCGCGGCAAAGCTTTCACCAGTAGATTTCGCGTATCAGAGGGCGACAATTTTCCATCCGTCCTTCGATTTCCGACCACAAACACCCCAATCAAAACTTCTGATAAGTACCCTGATAGCCGAAGGACACAACGAACCATCGAGAGTACACTACCTATCTGCGCTTGTCTTCTCCGCAGTTTTTAATGCGGATTATGAGTAATTCTGGCCATTTCTTTTGATGAGTAATACAGCACACCAGAAAGCTCTGTGCTACACAGCCGCGCAACATGACATACTCGCGCGCGTGCACCGCAACTGCCTTCGGCGCGCGATACACATAAACGAAATAAGAGTTCCAGCCACAAGCCGCGGCCCGGCGGCCTCGGCGCCCGCCCGTCTCTCCAGCAAACCGCACACCAGAGGTCCGTGGGACGGGCTCGGGCCGGGGCGACCGACCGTGCCCTCACCCGCGGCCCGCGGCCCAGAGTAATCAGCATGTGCCACCAGCTCAGCCGACAGACGGTGCAACGGAGCGGTGTCGGCAACGACCCACGCCGCTGGGCGCGATCTCCGACGCGCCGAGCGCAGTCTCCCGGCAACACCGATACCGCGATCACGAGCAGCAGCCGTCCGCAGCACTCGAGCTCGATCGCGATAGGCGCCCATAAGGTGCCGACCGAAGTCCCTTGCAGATCGATGGCATCGACATCACCGTCTGAAATGCCCGTTGCCACCGTCGAAATAAAGCTGAAGATCGGTCCGATGAGTCGAGGGTCGGACATGATTGGGCAAACGCCGCAGGTAATTGCACTCGACACGCCGGTCACCGCGCCGTCACAGCGAGCGGACGCAGCCAGCCACAGCTAACGCAACACTAACCACGCACCGCAAAACCGTTCGGCCGCGCCGCCAGACGAGGACGCCAGGCGCGGTCCCGTCCGGACGACGGCGGACGAGGGGAGCGCGGCAGTGATGACCGGACGGTGCTCGCCGGCCGTCGAGCGGCCCGGCTGGAAGCCGGAGAGTGGCGGCGGGCGGCGGTCAAGGTCCGACCGAGCTGGGCCGGCCCGCGCCCGCTGCTAGTAGGCCATGCTCGACGTCGGGCGCCTCGTCGCCGGCTGCCGGGCGCGTCCTCGACAGCAGGCTCTCCGTCTCCTCCGACTGCCGGCGGAAACGAGGCAGCGTCAGGCATAGTTCTCCGCGGCACTGTTCGCAGCGTTCGCGCTCTACCACAGCATTGTCAGGCTGATGGTCTGCGACGAGTGCGGTGCCGTCGTGCGGGACCACGCACGGCACACAGCGGTACGGCCACACAGAACAAAATGTCACGGAAAACCCCTGAGGTGACACACTATCCATGACTATCCACGGCGGACCACGGCAGCGCTGGCCAATGCTCCACGCGTGGCCAACGCGACGTCGGGTTGATCACCCCTGGAAGGCCAGCGGCGTCATCCTGACTGCCCACTGAAGACCACAGCACCGTCAGAATGACCATTCACGGCAACTGATTACAGCAGTGTCCAACTGGGTACCCACGGCAGACCACATCACCGTCAGAATGACCAGTCACGGCAACTGATTACAGCAGTGTCCAACTGGGTACCCACGGCAGAACACATCACCGTCAGAATGACCAGTCACGGCAACTGATTACAGCAGTGTCCAACTGGCTACCCCACGGCAGACCACAGCGCCGTCAGAATGACCAGTCACGGCAACTGATTACAGCAGTGTCCAACTGGCTACCCCACGGCAGACCACAGCGCCGTCAGAATGACCAGTCACGACAACTGATTACAGCAGTGTCCAACTGGCTACCCACGGCAGACCACAGCACCGTCAGAATGACCAGTCACGGCAACTGATTACAGCAGTGTCCAACTGGCTACCCACGGCAAGCCACAGCACCAAAAACTATCCTAAAAAAACGCTAAAAAAAACCCGCTCCTCGTTCTCGGAGCTCGGTAAACGATTCAGAAAATTCCAAACGTCTCTATTAAAGTAAGTGGGGTGGCAGTCCCATGCACAAAATTTCGCAGGTAGAGACATGAGCGTAATAATCGATCTTGAATTAACAAACGAACCACGCGTGAGCCATCCAACGGGAGGCGCACCAGCCACTCTTCCGCCCGAGTCACGCCAGAAACAGGCATTTCCCGTGATGTCGACGCCCGTCCGCAGCCTAGTTACGCTCCGGATACGTTATCGGATCACAACGCATGTAACCACAGTCCCTACGCGCGTTCAGAGCTGCTCGGTCTCTGTGTGAGTTGTGTCTGGAAGATGAGGGCGTGAGCATGTGCTGGATGTCGTGCGCGAGCTGAACCGGTTACGTGCCCGGACCCCGTGATGTACCGCGCGCTGAGCCTTCCCAAACCTTCTTTCGCTCCCAGGCAGCCAAGCGACCTGGCTCAGCCCTTCACATACGCACAGAGCATCCAGCGGCGTTATACGCGGCCGGACAGTCAGCTGGCCCTGTCACACATCAGCACACAACCTGGACGGCCCTGTCACACATCAGCACACAACCTGGACGGCCCTGTCACACATCAGCACACAACCCGGACGGCCCTGTCACACATCAGCACACAACCTGGACGGCCCTGTCACACATCAGCACACTACCTGGATGGCCCTGTCACACATCAGCACACAACCTGGACGGCCCTGTCACACATCAGCACACTACCTGGACGGCCCTGTCACACATCAGCACACAGCCTGGACGGCCCTGTCACACATCAGCACACAGCCTGGACGGCCCTGTCACACATCAGCACACTACCTGGACGGCCCTGTCACACATCAGCACACAGCCTGGACGGGCCTGTCACACATCAGCACACTACCTGGACGGCCCTGTCACACATCAGCACACAGCCTGGACGGCCCTGTCACACATCAGCACACAGCCTGGACGGCCCTGTCATACATCAGCACACAACCTGGACGACGGCGATTCACTACACGCACCACCCAAGCCTTTAATCATATCGCTTCCACCACCAGGGAAAAAAGCGAAATGGTTTTTTAAAGGAATGTGAAGCGAGGCGGATCGGTTTGACATATAAGTTAGGTTCAGTGTCAATTCGTACGCATCCTTTGTGATTGTTTCGCCCTGCACGCATCATTCTCATTGCTTTGTGGGCAGACGACGATGCATGACAAGCTAGACTGTAGCCGAATGTATCTTAAAACATGCATGCATGCATGTATATACACGCATGCATGTATATGTGTCCACATGCATGCATGGGTAGATATGTACATATGTATGTGCATATATATATATATATATATATATATATACATGTGCATACGTATGTATATACATGCGTGCAAATACGTGCACACAATGCAAATATGCACTTATATACATGTGTACATGCATATATACATGCATACATACATACATACATACATACATACATACATACATACATACATGCACGCACATTACCACGCCGTGAATGCTACTGGGTTAATTTCGGTTTGGGTATATCATCAAAACGCAATGGTCCTATCAAACCAACGGTGGCTACGGCCTGGAGCCCACCAATCGCGGAGTGGTGGCTCGCCAATACACACATGCAAGTGGCTTGACAGTGGCCACCCACGTCAGGCCACAGCAACGGCGAACTGACTGTCTGCTGCACACCACGGCAGGAGAGCTGCGCCAAGACTGCACTAGTCCAGACGGTCTTTACAGCACAACCAATCGGCTCACACACCCAGGTCCACGCATGGGACACCCACACGCAGTGACATGACCATAACATGGTGATAAGCACGCCGTCGAGACCTACCTTCTTGGCGCTGCAGCACTTGTTGGCCACGCAGTTCTCATTCTCTGACGGCGGACAGTCCAGGATGCATGTCTCGCTCTTGTTGGACGTTGCCGCTTCGTACTGGAAACAGGCAGCAATGAGCAGCACTGGTGCGGGGCTGCTGATGGTCTGGAATAGTGAGGAAGAATATGGCGCGGCCCCCCCCCCCCCCTCCCCCGTTGGTCCCTGACTTAATCGACAGATCATTTCGTCCGGTGGTCTTAATGGTCCAAAAACGCATCCCAAAAAACATTTCCTTGGTGTGGCCAGTGTTGTAAGACGGCAGGTCCGTTACTATAAATACACGAGTGAGCTCAAGCACACCAGCCGCAAGAGGAAGTTTGTTTAATGTTCGCTTCTCAACACTTGGCGTCACCTTGTGACTACGACCAAGTACCAAGGAGTAACAAACACTACTTGCGCCGCCCAATGTACCGAGCAGCTGGCGGTGAACCAGACAAAGTCGGTCGGGTTTGATGCTGATCCCAAACACTACTTGCGCCGCCCAATGTACCGAGCAGCTGGCGGTGAACCAGACAAAGTCGGTCGGGTTTGATGCTGATCTGTACCGAGCAGCTGGCGGTGAACCAGACAAAGTCGGTCGGGTTTGATGCTGATCTGTACCGAGCAGCTGGCGGTGAACCAGACAAAGTCGGTTGGGTTTGATGCTGATCTGTACCGAGCAGCTGGCGGTGAACCAGACAAAGTCGGTCGGGTTTGATGCTGATCTGTACCGAGCAGCTGGCGGTGAACCAGACAAAGTCGGGCGGGTTTGATGCTGATCCCTTATCTACTCTCGTGCAGTGATGAACAACACATCCATGAGCAAAGTTACGATTGTTTTCGGATCGGGCCGGCGTGAAGTCTGTAATCAATCAATGGTAACGGACTTGACGTGCGCATCGGTGCAGCGAAGGATCGGGCCGGCGTGAAGTCTGTAATCAATCAATGGTAACGGACTTGACGTGCGCATCGGTGCAGCGAAGGATCGGGCCGGCGTGAAGTCTGTAATCAATCAATGGTAACGGACTTGACGTGCGCATCGGTGCAGCGAAATGTCTTTAGTTTTGTTTTGCCATCGATGATGAGTAAGCTAACTCACCACTCACCAAGGAATGTACATATATGAACGTATACATTTCTTGGCTTACATGGGGCTATGTGCGATACAATCAATTGCATCAACGAATAACAAGGCATTATGAATGCACACCTCTTACGACAGTCTATCCCTTAACAACACTTATTTTTAGCCCATTTAAGTCTTACGTCCACAAACTCAGGCTGTATGGTGGTCGAGTGGATGCCCTCGTTGTGGAACAGCTGCTTGATCTGTTCGGCAATGGTCATGTAGTCGGCCAGGTTGTGGCAGCGGATGTGGGCTGAGGCGATGATGCGGTCCCCGGCCAGCTGCCACACATGAAACTCGTGCACGGCCAACACGCCCTCGATCTCACGCAGGATCTTCTGTTCGATGTAGTCCACCTGGATGTGCGTCGGCACCGTCTGCAGCAGAATCATGGCGCTATCCACCACTGCAAGGAGAAGGGGGCGGTCAGATGATGGAGATACCTGCGTGCAGGCTCAGCTGTGGGACTATGGGCTGTCCACGCCTGCAAGGAGAGGGGACAGCTCAAGAGACCGGAGCCGCTGTGCACCGGCTGATCTACCGCGGGACGTGGCCGCAGTCGTCACTGCGAGATGAGACAGATCGGACTCATTCTGCATGCAGGCTCAACTGTAATCGGTGCCTATCACCCATAGTGTCCGGACACGATTGTAGAACGATGACAAGACCCCGCGATGTACCGCAGCTCTGGCCGACCCCAGCTCCAGCACCAGTCCCTCAGTGTACCAAAGCCCCGGCAGCAGCCCCCAGTACGCGACCCCAACGCCGGCAGCACTCACGGAGAGGCCAAACGGAGCGCAGGATGAGCATCACCATGACAATGCTGAGCGCCGGATCGATGTAGAACTTGTACTTCCAGTCCGTCTGCCAGATGATCACCGCAGACACCACCACTATCACCGAACCGATGGCGTCCGCCAGCACGTGCAGGAACACGCCGCGCATGTTCATCTGCTGGGCGTTGCCGGCGGGCGCGCGGCCGCCGCCGACGGTCACCTCGTCGTCGTCGTCATCGCCGACGAAGGAGGATAGGTGGCCGCGCGTGGTGGCCGGCAGGGACGGCGGCGGCGGCGAGCCGGGCGACGCCTTCTTGGCGGCGCCGTGCGAGTGGCCGTGACTGAGTCCGCCATGACTGTGGCCGTGGCTGTGGTCTGCCGACGACAGCCGGTCACATGGTCACACGTCCAGGTCACGGGTCACCCACGACGCCCGCTACAGGGCTGGGAACAAGCCGGCCGGCTGGACCTCCGCACCTCGCGCGTTGGAGGAGGAGCGTCACCGGACAGCGTGGTGTTCAGGTGGCATCATCATCAAAACCCTGGCATGGCAAAGTTTGTTACCCCAGGGCCGCAGATACTTTAAGCTCGTCAAGACAATACATGCCGGCTTGATCCCTGGCACAGCTTGTAAAATGCTAGAATAAGTACTGCCGTATTGTCCGTCTGGGGCGCCTGAGCACCGAGCGGCTTCTGTCGCCACAACTTCGGCCAATAATTCAACGCACTTACTGGCAAAGAGAGCGAGCCCGATCACATTGACCACCAGTCCCAGCACGCCAACCACCAGGATCATCTGCGGACTGTGGATCTTTTCCACCTCGTAAAACCTGAAACGCACACGACCGCACCGGTTCGCTCAAAACGAACCAACGAACAACAGGCGCAGGGTTCCCGACCAAGGTCAGCGTAAGCGCGGCGACAAAGTAAGCGTTTCATCCAAGCGTACATGAAACTGATAAACGTATTTTCGTAAGTGCCTTTCAAATCTTTATGCCCGGATGTCTGGTCGGCGACTTCTGCCCATCGCACATCAGCCTTCCACTTATTCACTCGTTAGTGTTGCGACAAGCGAACGTATACATTCGCTCAACTTCGCCTGCTCGTTCATCTTAAAGTATATTTTGACCGTACAGCCAACGCACTTTGCCAGTGTGACAGCTGGATTCAACTAGAAGACGTGAAGGAAGCTGGACTGCGACTAAGCATCCTACAATGGTCGAGTACGGGGAGTCATGCTTCGCCGAAAGACCATCTCGTTACCGTACAGCGCAAAGAAAACGAGAGCCACGGTGTGACTTTAGCTTACCGATATAGCATGCCTACCATTGGAAACCACCATGTCAATCGTGTCACATCCGAGGGGGAAAAACTGACTATTACTTAGATTAAAAACAGATATTCAACGTTCATCGGAAAATTTTGTATCTACCTCAAAAGATAATTCGAAAGCAACGAGCGATACCATACAGTTCAAAGAAAATAATTCACGCGTTATGGTTAGCAAATACTTATGCTGAATAAATCCCTGCAAAATTATTGGCTAAAATCCCGACAATATATATCCACGAGAATGTTATACTTTATCCGAACACCACTTTCGGCGTTCGAACATAACAAATCCGAAACTTCGCCCGCACACTGGAATGTTTACAACGCGAACGTTTGCCTTCACTCGCATTTGCCACCTTATCCGGACCTAATGTCGAAAGATATAAGGATATAACGGGTACGGTAACGGGTCAAAAGATATAACGGGTACGCAGGCCTGTTGTTACCACGCAGCCGGCAGCTCGTTGTGAATGGTCCGGTACAAAGGCGCGTGAGTCACTGTCCACATGTCGTGCTATCATAGGGATTAGGCCGGCGCCTGTTCCGACGCGACCCGCCGCTTTACAGCACAGCCGGCCACTACGGCCTGTGGCCTGGTGAAGAACAAGCGACGCTCCATATCAGCAGCTGCACGAGTGCTTCTGTTAATGTCCCTACATGATAAGACTAGAATCAAGTACATTGACTTCCGCAGTGTGCTTCACCAACGGTGCAATGACTGAAATGACGCACCGAGGGATGGGTCAACACTAGCAGGCTGGCAATATGTCTTTGCTTCTTTATTTTTTCGTTGATTTAGGTCGTAAGCAGTCCAATGGCAACAGTCCAATTGCAGAAACAGTTCATTTTCAAAACCAACAAATATACGACACACACACACACGCACACACGCACGCACGCACGCACGCAAGCACACACACACACACACACACACACACACACACACACACACACACACACACACACACACACACACACACACACACACACACACACACACACACACACACACACACACACGCACACACACACACACACACACCAACAAAACCTTAACACACACATGGACCTTACACACAGTGACGCATGCGCCTTACACATTCAGACACAGCGGTTATCAAAAGAACGCGCTACGGGCGCCGACGACCTTTAAAAACACCAGATCGGAATGATTTTATTGGCGGAAAAACGTCGGTTGAGGGAAAACGTGTAGAAAACGATTCCAGACAATAGGTAGATGTGCGGCAAATCTTTTTAAACAATATTGACCTTCGCAAATGACTCGAGGAAAAGGCTGGTTTGCTGAGAGCGCCGGGTGGATGTAGCCAGACCGAACAGTGATGTTAGGTGAGCGCAGTCAAACCTGTGATGATATCCGTTGCATATAAAGAAGATGTCAGACTGAGCGAAGCGTGCCCTGATAGATGCTGTTTTGAAATAAGCAAGAAGATGCTCAAAAGTGTTGTAGTCGTTCGAACTCGGTGAGATGGGCAACAGCAGCACCGCTGCAAATAACGACACCGTATTCTATCAATGACCTTACGTGAGCGTTGAAGGCACACAGCAGAGCCTTATGATTGAACCGCGCTTGACGAGGCTACGACGGTATTCTCACGCTTCGCTTGAGAAGGTCTATCATCCCGTTTGCTTCTGAGACAGTCGAATCTATGTGATTGGCAGAGGTGAGTTTGGTATCTAGGAAGACGCCCAGATCGCGAATCTGCTGGCAGCTATCCACGCGGTGACCGTCTAGTGCGTATGGGTAGCAAACAGGTGACGTATGGAGGGTGAATGAGATGGTGTCGCACTTTGCTGGGTTCAATTTCAGTCCCAGTTTTGAGACCATTTACAGAGGCGATCTAAATCAGCCATAAATATGAGACAATTTCCTGCGCCTTCGATTCCGCGACTGATGTTCACATCACATCATCCACGTACATACGGTATTCACTCTCAGTCCGGTCAGGGACATCAGCCAGAAGGCAGGCTAACAGCAACGGTCCCAGGATGCAAGCTTTCGGGACACCAGATGACACTGGAATCTAGTCCGACTGCTTGCCGTTCCGCATTACAGTTGTGAATGACTGTTCAAATACGACTCAAGCCAGCTACAAACGTGGCCAACGATGCAAAAAGAATGGCGAAGCTTGTGTAGCAAAATATGGTGATTGACGTTGGTGAATGCTGAGGAGTAATTAGTGTAAACTGCATCTGTTTGTTTACCTTTTGAGATAGATTTCCAGCAGTATTCAAGCAAGCATGCAAGGTTTTTGACGCGGGGAATGTTTTGGAAGGAATCCAACCTGAGAGGAGGGCGGGCAGACAGAGCTGTAACAGACTTTCGCTCACAATTTACACCAATATTTTTGAGCAAATACGAAGCAAAAACAAAGCCTGTAATTTTCAGGCAGCTTTTTGGGCCCCTCTCGTGCACCGATATCACATTCGCCTGCTTCCACGTGGTAGGGAAGACGCCAGAGTTACGGGAAAGCTCGCATAGCATTTCTAACGGAACAGCTAGCTCCTTGGCACACTTCCTGAGAATGCAGACGTAGAGTCCGTAGGGCATGCAGACCTCATGTGCACTGAGATCGCATAACAGTTAGGCTATACGGTCATGCAGTACAGCAACGCTGTCTAACCCAGGTGCATCGAGCAAAGGTGCGTCAGGCAATATATGAAAGTTTAGGTCACAAAACTGCCGAGAAAAACACATATTCAGACAGGTGATACGCCCCCCCCCCCCCCCAACCGCTCTTATACACATCGCCACCGCACTCAAGAACAGGAGATATGCGCGCTGATGACTTCAATAACTCAACAAAGAGCCAATACCGCTTCGGGTTGTCAAAGTCTCGCACTAGACTCAACAAGTACTCGCAATATTTAGAATCAGCCGCAGTGCATCCAATAAATGGCATGTACAATATAAGCGTCATTGTAATATTGTATCAGGTCGCATCGTTACATAAATCATGTCGCCAGCCAATTTGGCTGCACTGTGTCTGCACGTCACATCGCACCGGGTTCATCGCAGCACGGGAGAGTGAGCTGGCTACTGCGGGGCTTGGCTCCCGGCCGGCCGGAAGGAGCGAGAGCGATAACTACAAGCGGACCCGACCGATGTCTCAACCCAGACCAGTGATCTAGATTTTGTACACGCCAGCGTGCGGCACGCACAAAATCTAGGTTACTGGTCGGACTGTTCACATACCAATGGCAGATGATTACAGAGACGACGAAATCAGCCCTGTTCTGTGATCAACCGAACTTATACTGGCGGCCGTCCTGGCTGGAGCGACCTTTTGTACCCGTTACGGTGTGACGTGGCGTCAGTAGTCTGCTGCCAAGATCTCGGTGGCATCAGGATCCTGTGTACCGCCGTGTGGCTTGCGGCAGACCATCCTCGCCGTTGCGTGCATTTAGTGCATGCATCCCACATGGCCAATTGCCTGAGGCCTCGTTCCAGGTTATCACGTGTCATCATGTCACCCGGCTGCACGGTGAGAAACACGCATTTTCAAGGTCCTGTCTACAGCAACTGTGGCAAACTTACCTCTTTAGAGACTCGACAAAAATCGAAAAGCAGAGCGCAATGAGGAACACCGAGTTGACCAGAGCGCCGAGCACCTCGGCGCGCGCCCAACCGAATGTGTTCTTGGACCACTTCTTGGGAGACATCTGAAAAGCATAAGGTTTAGGAGCCCCACATTAGAACAGCCCACATTCGTGCAGTATGGTCGTTTAATGGTTCGTGTTGTGTGTGCATGTCTGCATAACAAGTAAACCACACCTCTGTGTAGTAAAAAAAAAACTATTACAGCACAGAAGCATGCCTCAGAATTCGAACACATGTCATCTGAACAGAACGCCCGTGCTAACACACTGCAAGCGATCTATAAACTACAAACGACCGGCTGGACGTGCGGTTCAAACAACTGATAACAGTACATGGTAATCTAGAGCATGCTGAAATTTGACTCCAGTGAGATCGGGCTGTGTATATTTGATCCGATACGCGGACGGCCCAGCCGGAGGGCACAGACACCGTCAGCCGGGTGGCCGAGCATAGCACTTGCGCCCGGCTACGGCGCGCACAACAATGCCGAGCGGTGTGGGTAACAACTGTGCGCAATTATCATGCCGCCCAATGTTTGCGATGACTGTGCTGAACAAGCGATTGTGTTGACGTATTGAAGTTAAAGAGTTGAATACGCGGTCTTGGTTGCCTCGATGACCCGGTGTCATATCAAGACGAGGAGTAAACACAAAAATGCAGTTGACGCCCCCACCCGCACACACAAAGCCAACCACTGATTTCCTCAAGACGAGAATATTCCAATACAAAGCGCATAATATACAACCTACATGGAGATATTGTTTGTCGAGCTGGCTTGCCCAGCGACATCAAAATAGCTCCGTCGCCAAGTTGGCGTGAGTTTTCCATACCGCGATGTGATGTGCGTCCGCCCCGGTGTCTCGGACTAACGGCATGACTCACAAAGCTCGCGCCAGCAGGACGCGTCCACGGCCCTGCTGGCGTTGGCTTTCGCAAACAACCAACAATGACGCGGTCTTAGTACTCACGCGCACGGCAAGAAAGGCCACGACGAGAGCCACCACATCGCTGAGCATGTGGAAACTGTCGGCCACCAGCGCCATGGAGTTGGTGACGTAGCCGACGATGATTTCCACCAGGAAGAAGGTGGTCGTCAGGCTGAACATGGTCAAAAGCCGACACTTCTTCCCTGAGTACTTCCCCATTTTCTGTGGCGGTGACACGAAGACGATGTTATGGCAATGTTATGTCATGTTATGGCGAGTCTCCACCATTGCGGTTATCAGTTGGCCAAATGTTTTCGTATTGGTGGCCCACTTGGGTGTCATCTACGAATCCGTTTCGCATCCTCCATACCGATGACAGTTCTGCCACCACTGGTTCGGAAGAAGGCTCCGTATCTGACAGGCGGCGGCGCTCGTCGGCTCGTACTCCACCCAGACAATGGCAGATGTCTGGCGTTGGTTGAGTGGCCCGGCGCTGCGCTTTCAACCAGAATATGGTCTGCCCTGTTAGACGGTGGCTCGGCAAATACTCACAAACCCAATGTACACTAAAACCCTGTGCTTGCATCGCGTCTGGGCTTGTGAGGTCACACATTCGACGCATCCGAGTAAGGAGCGTCTGGAGTCCACACGCTCAAGAGCGCGGTGGTTTATGACTGCCTCCTAGACCTCGTTTGATTGGTTCACTGTGGCTGGAGAGCACTTCTTTCGATTACTGGTTTTCGCCAACATCGAAGGTATATTCGTCTACAGCCCCCTGAGGGACCAAGTCCCACGGGGAGTAATGATGACAGTAATGTCCAGCCCTCAGATGTAACGCATAGTACTGGAGCACCTTGGAGGGCAGGAGACACCCGCTGGAAACAAGTTCCGAGCCTCCAGATTGTTACGCAGCTTGCCCATCCGCTCGTGGATCCCGCAAATCCCTGTCCCGTTTACGGATAGTCGGATAATGTGGTGTCGTCCACCGATAGTATGACCTTTCACGCGCTGCAGAAGATGTGATGCACATGGTGAACAGCAACACTGCAAGTCAGAGCCCAATGGTTAATTCGCTTCAACAAAACCTTAACCAACGAAGGGCCGGACACGTGGCGTTCACATCCGCCTTATAACCATCAAAATACCGACTGCAGCGAACCCTGATGCAATCATTTTGTTATCACTTCTTTGTCGCTCACAACGAGTGAGCATACGCCTACCGATCTGCGCATCTCCACAATGAGCGTGTTATCAGCAACGACACTGCGGACGCGCATTTCGCTAGGTTCAAGACTCGTGTCCATGACGTTATTCAATGGACCTGACGTTTTTGCCTCTCGTATGTCTCTATGTCGTGGTTACGACAGTCACCTGGGATTGTCGATGCATCTGGTGACGAAGGTCTAAGAAGGCCTAGATTCATATCGAATGCCCTCATCTAGTGCAACATAATACAGGGTCAGAATGTGCATACAAAATAACAAGATGGGGACATGTGAAAGATATCTTATTGTCCCACCTTCGAAATCTGATAATCACGATACCGACGGCGGACGTCGGACGTGTAACACTCATGGTACGATACCGACGCATCAAGGCCGGTTCGACGGATCAAGGGCAGCATTTACTTTTTCACTGTGAAGCTTTTGCGTACTGACCGTTGATTGCTCGACATAGCAGCTAATTATGACATCTTAATGTGGTAGTAACATGATATCCCACTACACATCAATGGGATACAGTTGGGCGGTAGGGAAATTGGGTGGGGAATAAAAAGTATAATAATAAGTGGGATTAGGAGTATATAGAAGTAGGAGTAAGAGAAAGATGAACAGTAGGAGTAGGAGTAAGAGTAGGAGTGGGAGCAGGAGTGGTGGCAGAGTCAGGGTAGGTTACATCATAAACTTGCCTATACACAAAAGTTAATGCTGGTGATGGGCAGCTTAAAAAAACACCATATTTCTATTGCTCTAAGATGTCATATTTAGCCAACATGTCCAACACTGGAATTCCACAACTCTATTTCCAATTCCATGTCCACTACTGGAATTATCATATTTTAAGGCAAGACCATAACTGGTTGCAAACATGTGCCTCCTTTATGATCAATTATAGTGCTTCTGTCTAAAAAAGGCAATTTAAGTGCGATCTGTTGTTGTAAAGTTAGCCACAAAATGTCTACCTTAACCCATATACCAGCATATCATTGTTATTGTACCACAGCAGTAATTTCAGAGCATGTTTGCAACTAATATATAAGGTAAATGAAAGTAATTGCTCCATCAATTCATTTTCTCTGTTCAGCAAATATGTCCCTCAGTATCTCACCATTTGAGTCATGGAGCATTGTTGTGACATTGAGGTACTGCTAAGATAGGTGGGCAAAATTGCCACCTCACTAGCCACTTGTGGCAGTTCAAGCTTGCAGAGAGATGATAGTGGCAATGCTGGAAGCATTTGCTGAGCCAAATATAAAACCAAACCCTTTTCCATGGCATTCTTGTACAGGTACCATTGCATTTAAGATGTGCATTTATATTCACATTCTTGGTATAGTGCTATTCTACTTTATGTGGTATTCTTGCACATTTACCCTTGAGTTTACGATGTTTAGTTACAATTACATTCTTGGTATAGTGCTGCTTTAAAGTTATTAGATTACCAAGTCTTATTTCTACAACAGTTAGCAATCATGGCTAATGCTTTCTTTCTTATTTCCCTTTTTCAGATTTCATCTGAGCCTTTTGAATGGATGGATTTATGGGATCAGAGTTCACATTGAGCAGCACTACTCATGCAAGCCTGACGCCTAACATCTGATCACACAATCCCAGGTCAACAGCTCGATTTGGTAGTGAAAGCTTCAGAGGTCATCTGACTTTCATCACAGCCAGCATTTCATCACAGCCAGCATTTCATCACAGCCAGCATTTCATCACAGCCAGCATTTCATCACAGCCAGCATTTCATCACAGCCAGCATTTCATCACAGCCAGCATTTCATCACAGCCAGCATCTACAGGCCAAACTAGTCAAAGCCAGATAGGGAGTGCCTAAAAAGGGGGCAGGCCTTCTAACCAACTAAGCCCTCATGGCAGGCTTAACTTGTTAAATAATGTAGCACAAAACATGATTTGTGGTTGAAAATAGCACAGCTTGCTCAACACTGATTGAGAGCTGATTGTCATTCTCTTTATTAGGAAATTGTTGGCATGGATACCAGATTTGACCATCTCCATAATATTATACCTGGCTTTAAATGCAAATGGCCCAAGGGATGACAGGATTTAATGACAATTCTATGGTGCCATGCATGCCTGAATGGCCATCAAAGTCTGCAGAACACAGTTTGCACATTTTCACAGGTGTTCAGCTAAGCAACTAGAGGGTTTTAGATCTTGAGAACAACAGGACTGTGAACTGCACCCAATGGTCTTCAAAATGGCTTTTCAATTCAAAACCCCACTCAAATGTGAAACAAGCCTTGAATGGTGTTGGAAATTCTAAAAAAATTTCCTGGTAGCAGAGTACAAATTTTCTATAGTGGAGTACAAAACTATCAAAGTGCTGTGGGTCGTTACAGCTTTATTTGGGTTATCTTTGAGAGATAATAGTACAGTGGGTGGCGCTCAACAAAAGCGCCACTTCATATACAGCAATTAATGTAGAAGCATTTTAAATGAAAGGAAACATCAGTATCAATCATAGCACACTGGAACAACATGGTCCCATGCTCTGTACTATGAAACACATGTGCATATACATTGGTTTGCGATTTATGAAAGGCTCTGTGTATACATCCTTCAAAACGGAGGGTAATTACGCATCGAGTTTATACACTCTCCAAAATGGAGGTTGGGTATGATATGCACAGCCAGACAAAAACAGTACACAATAAATGCGAATGAGCATGCCACAGATGGCCACCTTCTCATGCTCCACCACGATCACGCTACTCTCGCCCCACCACGGTCACGCTAGTCACGCTCCACCAGCTAACTGGTTTTAAAAACAGCTAAACATTCATGCTCTCCACCTTCCCACTCCCGGTCAACACACGAGGCCCTGCACGTCCCACCCAAACAATAGAGATAGACAGCACTCTTCAGCCATTTACCGAGCCAGTGCAAGTAAAATGCCTGACAGACCCGTGTAGGCCGGCCAAAAGGGATCGGAGTCAGTCACTCCGCTGGCCCCGACGGATAGTGCAAGGTATTTATGGATTTTGATGTGCTTTAACTGATGCTGCAAAATATGATAACTTATGATAGCATTAATTGATGTTTTTGTCCTAATCAGCCCTTCTCCTTAATTTGCCAGGCCAAAGTCATGGATTTATGTTACTCTAGTGTCCTGGTGCTTTGCCAGAGTGAGATGGCTGTCTCCGAAGTTTTTGGGCTATTTGTAGCAACATTTTTAGACTTAAAGGGGTATTTTGTCGAGCCTGAATTACCAGCTTTAATGTGGCATTCAACTTGGTTTGAATCCACAGCTGCCTTGGCATTTTTGTACTCCGGATACCAGGAAGTGGCCAAAAATCCATCCACATGGCGGTTCTGGGTGAGGACAAATAAGTCCTTCATAATTGTGATGCCCATCTCTATACAGCTTTCCTCCAAATGTTTACAAGTCTGTTCATGGCATGAGCATGTGCGGAATATTTATGCCCTTGACAAATCAGTCACGAGGAGGTGAATCATTAAAACCAGTTGGAATTTTACTATGTTCAACCTCCAACCTGAGCTGGGAGGCAGGCACAAGCCGCTGAATGGTTCAGGCGTTTCTGACGCTGAATTGCAAGTGATTCTCTTATTTGCATCGCCATGACACAGTGGTGGCATGTGGGTAGGCGGCCGTTTGCGGTAGGTGACTGGGCTTGGGCGTGTGGTTTTTTAAGAGTGTTCATTGCATCCTTGGCAATTAATGCAGTTTGTCGTCAATGGTAGGTTAAGTCATGTTCAAGTTTGAGTTGGTCTGCATAGCACAAAGGTAATCTACAGACCGGTGTGATTCTGGTACTCGTTTCTCATTTCCTGGTATTGTTCATAGGCCATTCCATTCAGCATTCACATGCTTTATTTTTTACATTTTCATAAATGGTTTATCATATACCTAAGTGGCAACACAGGCTGCTTGCCATTGGGCATGTTAGTCTGGTGGGTGCAAGATTTGTGCTCTTGCAGATATCAATACATGGCTCCAGATGGAAGCAGCAAGTCTCAAGCTGTTGTACATCCTGGTTTTATTTTGTCCTGACACAGAGAGATAAAGTGAGTTTTTCCAAAAACTGTTCTTGTTGCATCATGATGGAGTATAAAACATTTCATTTGACCTAGTCACAACCCTGAGTACAAATTCTTCTGGCATACATTATACCAGGAAACATCAAGTTTTCCAATGCTGGCCTTGTAAGCCTGTCTCAGACTGCGAACATATATGTTCTACCAAATATGCCTAGCAAAGCAGCAGCCTTACTGCAAAACCTTTAGCACATGTATGCTAAAAATCTGAGCATTCAGAGTTTGGCATAAAGTCATGACTGATTTTAGTGGAAAGGGTAAACATTTCAAGGAATCATAATGTGGGGGCCATGTCTGGCAACAATGCTCTAAACCATCATTCACATGAAAAATGGTTGAAACAGTACAATCTGGCCTGGCTTAAGTTTGACATACCCAGGCATGATATTCAGCCTGCAGATGCCCTGCACACAACTAGCAGTCCCTGGATTGTTTGCAACCTGGTCTGTAAGTATAAGTACCAGGCCGCTACTGGGGTCCGCTGACAGGTCAGATTCCAGCTATTAGGCCACCAGGTCACCACTTGTCACAAAACAACCACTGCAGCAGACCCCCACCCAAAAGTGATGTCACTAACATTAAACATGATAAGGTATCCATGCATGAACAAAATTACTGAAAATGATAAATAGACCAGGCACCCTACATCCATGACATGAAAGATACGTTTTAACAACAAGATCCGTTTTCTACGATCCCTCAAAGCATGAGAAATCTGCCCAACATGGGGCAGCGGAATGGATCGCACCTGCCCCATGGACCATGTCTCTCGTCGGCTTTGTGACTGTAAGCTAACTGGGACGCTCGCGTACCGTGTTGCGATGTAACGTATGAGTGTGCGCGTTATCCCGCCGCCGTCTACGGCACCACGCCTTGGCTGGACTTGGACAGCTGTCCCTCAATCGCGCGCAACCACCGCATCCACCACAGAACACGGACACCTGAGCAGCGCCTCCCCCTATACACCCAGACGTTCTCTGCCGCGACTGACGCTGCTGCCACTCTCTGCCAGCCACTTCCCTAAAAAGTAAACAAAGCATGCTATAGTAGTGAACTTGGTTTCGCCATATAACCATTTTTGTAGGTAGCCCTTATCTAAATATGGCAGTTAAGTGCCAAAAATAGAACACATTTAATTTGTAAAATTTATCTTCCGAGGATATTCCTTTTTCAACATCAATGGCCACGATTCATTTGAGTCTAGTTTCTGTTGGGGATATTCGTATACTATCCAGTTTTCAATGCATGCTATAGCTTTTTACGGGCAACTTTCAGTACAAAACTAGAATATGACAGCCAAGAAAATTATGAAAGTCTTTTTCTGCTAAGTGCTTGTACAGGATTCGCTCATTTTCGAAGAAGACTCTTTTCAAAAACCAAGCAGCTATTTCTTATAGCTCTGGATAGCATAGCAAGAGAGGAAGCGAGTCTGTGCGCAGGGGTGGTGGGGATGGATGGATTCAGGGAGATGATATGATCGTGATATAGTCTCCCTCGAATCTTTACTGTCCTGCTTGTAATAAGCATCTGAAGTAAGATTGCTTTCTTTTTTGTTTATTTTTACGGGTTTATGTGTCTAGGTAGATGGCAGGTACACTACATGTGGAACGATGTGCGCCAGATTGTGTTGGCGTCTGTCTAACACGTGCTTGGATTGAGGTGTTAGTTGCAGTCTTCGAGGTCTGGTCATTTTTGTCCGGTTTAATATGCTTATTTTTAATAGTTATTGGTTTGTTAATGGTGTTTTCCCCATTAGCCAGTCAATCCATCCCAGATTTGTGCATCGTTTGCTGATGAGCATATGTTATGCATGGGCCATACTCAGCAGCATATGCATGGGTAAAACCAATATTAATGGGCTGAATCGCCTTTGTATTGCATGCAATTTGCAAATATGCATGGATATATATGAATTTGAACAGTGAATGCCTTAGTTTCAGTTGGCAGTGGTGTCAGTTTCTAGGAGTTTTGTAGCACTTGTGGGAAAGGATTTGGGCACTGCTGGTCCTATTTTTTAGTTGTGTAGTACTCATTAGGTAACCTGAAATAGGATGGTCACTTTTTGTAGCCATGTGTGTGTGTGTGTGTGTGTGTGTGTGTGTGTGTGTGTGTGTGTGTGTGTGTGTGTGTGTGTGTGTGTGTGTGTGTGTGTATCAAGTCCATTGCAAATTTTTTATAGGTTAGTGTGGGCAAAGAGATGCACTGGTAAGGTATTTGTATGACAATCACAAATGGTGGTAATTGTCCTTATTTTTGTATTTACTTGGTAATATACCCTCAAAATTGCTGATGACATGCCTAGTAAGGGAATTTGATCTACTTGATTTTCATGGTTATTTGGTGTAATACATAGCATATATTGACATTTGAGTCCCCCAGGATGATATTTTGCAGAGATATGTTGATTTAAATGTCATGCTTACTTTGCTATTTACTTGAAAAATCTTATTCAATGACTGGGTAGTCAGACTCGTATGACAAGAACACAATATGGAAGTGCATTTCTATATAAAAATGTTTTTAATAATGTAAACATGCATGCAATAGCAGCATTCAGGTCACTATTTTCTCTATAAATATTTAAAACTATGACTAAATTGGAGCATAGGTTGCAGTCATGTAATGTGCATTCCTGATATGATCAAACTGTGTGTGATATTGTCTGTGATATGAAAAAATACAGTGAGCATGTCACAGGTTGTTAATGTTACAGATCAAAATGCAGTTAACATATGCCTAAAAACTGAGAGACAACCTGTATCAGATTTGGTGTAATCTATCAGCAGCAAGGTGTGGTCAGATGTCTTCTGCACACCACTGGATTTGATCATGCTCAGGCATTTGGTTAAATGAAATAGGGAAATAAAAAAGAACATTGATATGTAATGCATTGAACTTAACCCATTTGAAAGCATATTTTTTCAAATGCTCCTACACAGGTATTGATTGTCAATCATCTGGGCACTCACTATCAGTCGAAAGTGCATTAGACATGTCATGTGACTGGTTCTTGAAAGCTGCTGAAATATCTGGATGTGTGTTAAAGGCTGGTTAGCAATTCTTGCTGCTCTTAGAATTTCAAACCTGTATGGAGACAGGAAGGTGATATTATGTGATCATGAGTCAGCATGTCATATGATGTGATCCAGTTGGAGGCATTGTGCATCATGTGTCCAGTATAGGGTTTGGTTGCTGAAGGTCAAGGTTGTAGGACTTATTCCTGTGCAATTTGAAATTGGCTTCAAGGCATATTCCTCTCAAGGTAACTGGTAATGTAAGACTTAAATGTAGTACTGCCTTTTTAAAGTTCCAAGTTGTGTAACCTACAAAATATCTCTTAAAAATGTTTGGATAGAAAAATGGCAAAATCACAACTGCAAATTGCAAAAATACATTAGGAAAATATACAGTTCAAATAAGGAGATAACTTCCTATGCATTTGATGAAGACATTTTGAGAGGGCCAAATCTGCAGGCAATGTCTGTGACATACATTTTCTTCAAGCAGTTCTGAAATCAGTGATAGAGAACCTGAGAGGGCTCAGAACTTCCTGCACAGTGTATTAGTGTGCTGATCGTTATGATATGTGACATAGGTCATGTCAGGACTGGTCCCTAATGTGCTGATAGTTATGATATGTGGCGTAGGTCATGTCAGGACTGGTCCCTAATGTGCTGATAGTTATGATATGTGACATAGGTCATGTCAGGACTGGTCCCTAATGTGCTGATAGTTATGATATGTGACATAGGTCATGTCAGGACTGGTCCCTAATGTGCTGATAGTTATGATATGTGACATAGGTCATGTCAGGACTGGTCCCTAATGTGCTGATAGTTATGATATGTGACATAGGTCATGTCAGGACTGGTCCCTAATGTGCTGATAGTTATGATATGTGACATAGGTCATGTCAGGACTGGTCCCTAATGCAACTGGGTGTTGGAAGTTAAGGGGATGGGCCTAGGTGTTATCAGTTGATTAGTCTCTGTTATGGGTTGTGTTGGCATGAACTAATAGATCACATATTGGTAAGTGCAGATATTCTAGTTGAGCTGTTTGTGCTGGATGCTTCATGATAAACAGGCATGGACCACTTGGTGCACTGCCAAGTGCCCTGATGCATTCAACACAAGTGGGGTTTGGTCAGACAAGGTGTAACTACTAACAGTAAATGTGTGGAAAGACATCAGTGCGCTTAGATAAGTGTTCATTTGCTAAGCTAAGGAGCTTTTTGGGTGGTTGTGTGTTCCTAACAGTGTAACTGAATCATACATAATATTCTGTCTATCCCCAATAGCATAATGAGACAGAAAAGAAACTTTCTGCAGGCTTTATCAAGAATATCGAACATGGTGGCCTCACATTTGAATTGCTAAGTTTTTTTATCTGTGCACATTATGTGGAAATTGCATGCTTCTGTTCACTGAGCACTGACAATGATTGCCATCTTAACAGATATGCTGGTAAATCCAAATGAACATGTGACTTGTGAGGATATTTCAGTATCACTTAAAAGTTTGAGTTAATTGATGAGCAGATGTTGAAGCTGTCGTTTTCCTAAGGCATATTCAAATGGAATATTTGGAGGCATATCAGAACAGTGAAGTGCATGATATTTCACATGAGTGCTGGGGGATATGTTTGCAAAACCATTTTAGTTGGGCATGTGGCAGTTCAACATGTAGTGCTACCACATTCATGTTTTCATATAAGTTTCAAATTTGGGCTTGTGACCATTTTCTGTCCTTTTGGTCTCTGCCCAGATGCTACTTTTGTGCAATGATGCACAAATGTGCACATTGGAGGAACATGTATATCACAGGACAAGAGATTAATCTGTCTCATTTTGATTGATCTCCAGCTAAAGTCAATAAAATGCAAGTTTTTAATAAAAAAAAGATGTAGGATCACCATCATGTCATTTCCAAGGGTAATGGATTGTTTGCCTTTGAATGGTTTCTAGTCAATAAATGAAATGCCCAATATTGTGTGTCTTGCTGTTACATCTGTATGCATTTATTGGTTCCATGGTTTTTGTTTGGGTGGGAGGGGGGGGGGGGCCTGTTGTGATCATGTTATACATGGATTCCCATCTGCTGGGTGCTGGCCATTGAGCGTCAGCCGGCCGCCCCTCAGGTCCCGCGGTGCCGGCACGCGGCGCCCCTGCCACCGCGTGATGTCGGAGGCGGCGCTGCTGGAGGAGCGCACGGCCGACACCCCCGAGCCGGCCGGCTCTTCGTACGCGCAGGCGTTGCGCGGCCGCCAGCTGCCCGAGGGCACCGACGCCGACGAGCAGTTTCCGGAGCTGGGCCGGCCGCCCACCGACGGCGAGCTCGATGAATCCGGAGAGTGGAAGCAGTCCAAGTCGCGGCGCGCCGACAAACGCCAGCAGGCGCGCGAGCGGCGCGACCAGCGTGTGCGCCGGGAGCGGCGCGAGCGGCCGCCGCGTGCCGCTCCCGGCGCCGGCCCTGCGCCCGGCCCGGCCGGTGACGACGGCGAGCGGGCGCCGGCCGAGTCACAGCAGCAGCAGCAGCAGCAACAGCAGCCGCCCGCGCCGCTGCCGCCGGGAGACTCGGCCGGCTCTGGTGAGGACTCGACGGCCGCCGACGACCCGCGCAAGTTCGTCGACGCGCCACCGCCAAAGCAGAACGCCTGGAGCAAGAAGCAGCTGGACACCCCGGAGGCGGCCGAGCGGCCGCTGCCGACTGAGCCGGGCCTTCCCGTGGAGCCGGCGGCCGCGTGCGCGACTCCGGCGCCACCTGCCGCCGAAAGCCCCGAGTCGGCTGCGCCAGGTCAGTCCAGCTTCGGCCCCGCGCCTCCGTGCTCTTAGCCTGTGCGTACAGTCGTCGCTCCCCACGGCATGACGGAGAAGTTGGTGCAACGATTGCTGGGTTTGTAATGATGTGAGCTGAGCAGATGGTGGAATTGAGTCCCAGTGGGCTTCTTGTGCACAGCGTTCTCAGCAAA